ATATATAATTAACGCCTTGGATAATTGACTCGGAAACGAGGCAGTTGTATGACGAATAGGTTGCACGTTCCCGTTTTAGTTTTGCGTAAACTTACGAAATGTACGGCCTCCTCTACAGCCCTGTCGCATCTTCTATCCATATAGATAATTTTTTGCTATTGACTTTTTTGGTTTTTCAATTTAATCTCGTTGTCCGCCAGTCTTTCTCTTCATTTTTTGCTGCTACTTCGTATTCCATATGCTACGACCATCGGAGATCTTTGAATGGCGGAGGTAAGCTGACGCGTGGGCTAGATGAAAAGAAAAACGCGGCTTTATCGTAAATGCTCACGAATCAATGTTTGATAAAACCAAGATACATCGAGAACAGTATACAGGCACTAACAAACACGAAAAAGACGAGTTCTTCTCGAAGACCATGAACTGCCTGTCTGCTTTTAGCTGTTCGACGCCTTTCAGATACTTACGATCGTCTGTTTAGTAGATGATGCTTAACAAAAATAATATACACTACGTTAACACAACGCAGCTCGATGGATGGATCAGCTCGGGAAAGGCGTATGATGGTAGATAGTTAAGTACTACAAGTCGAATCTCATTGGTTAGGGAGACTCAAACGAAAAAAATATATCTTGCGATCAGAATACGGAACAATCACGCAATGTAACCAGGGGCAGCTCTTCCGTCCACTTCAGCCATGATTGTAATAAAGGATATGTGCAAATTTGATTTCATCGGTTTATGATAAAAGGTTGAACAACTTCAAGTCAACGACTATCTTCTGAGACGGTAATTCGCGCAATAGATGCACGAGGCGCCCGAAGCAACAAAACAGGAAGCTGATATATATGAAGATTGCACGACATCTCAGTTAATGAGATTAAAACGAAGAAACAGATCTCGTAGATGAAGGCATCTTTTTTATAATAGAACCCCAATTTAATGAACTCTGTACGTCCATGATAATTTCGTGCGCCTGCACTAAAACCATGATACAGGGGTTTATAAAGTATATATATATATATATAAAAAAAAAACAAAATAACAAATTTTGTCCAAAGCAGAACTTCAGTAGCCCAGATATTGAACTGAGCCTGTCAGCAAAGTAAGTTAACACCTCTTCAAAGTAGTCTAATCTAACGATTCGATTGAGTGGTACGGATGCTCAAACTGTCATTGCGGTGCATCAATAAGTCGCACAATATTGGACCCTGTTGAATGTTCACGTACTATAAGTTATATAATAGCGGAAGCACTACTACAAGAGTGTGTGCTGCCGATAAGCTTTGAAATACCCTGCTTTTAGAGAAATATTTAAGGATTGCAAGCAAAAGAGGAGACAAGACACACAGTGCAGCTTATACAGGGGGTGGCACAGGACATGGCATATTCGGGTACTCGAGAAAACTCTGATTAGGGACGGTTGTTTGATCGTTGTATAATTGATCTCCACATCTAGTTTCTGGCCCCCAACTGTCTGCTATTATCAAATATATTTGCCCAGGGCGCATGTGAATATATAACATGAACGATGACAGGGAAAACACAGAGGAAACGCGCCTTGGACGTGGGCAATGATCTTTCTTTAATATAGGAACACGACGCTGAGCCCAGCACGCCAAACAGGACTTTTTGTGTAGTAGCATATACGCCTGCTACATCTATTCGATTCGAAGCTATTTGACAGGATTGATAACATGGCTTTGAATTAATCTACTTTGCCAACTAAGTAAATAATAGTAACTATGGTAATAGTGAAATGGAATGCTATACCACCTGCGTGACACACGTAATGTATGTGTGTGGTTGATAGTACCTCCATCTCACTGAACGGCACTCAGTCCGTATTTCGAGGTAAGGGTGTTTCAAAATTGAGGTTTCGGTACCACACTTGATACTATAGCGTATCTACGATTTTCTCTTTATCCACTGATGTAGGTACATATTACGACTGACAAGATACAATAATGCACGTTACGCTAGAAATACTGAGTGATGTAGATGTTCAAACAAGGTTGAGGTGCAATTGAGCAATGGGACTTAACAAGTGACCCTTAAACGTACCGCGAGTCTCTATTTGATCGTCAGCAAGGATAACAAAAAAGAGTTTGTCTCGATTGCGGATTCTCAAAAGATTGACTAGGCAGCAACGTCTATGATACAATGATGTAATAGTTGTAATGCGTTCATATGGCGGGATGAGGTCATATGGCTTCATTTGTTTCGACACTTCAGTTCTTGTGTGTGCATGGTCCGTAGGGTGTATTGTTGGCCTGCAGGGTGTATTGAACTGCAGGTCAAGTCGAAATGACAATATAAAGCGGAAGGGAATGCTTCGTGTGTCTGTAGAGCATGGTTGCACTCGAATCATCTTCATAAGTTTCAAACGCTAAGCTTCAACCGGACTTAGTGAGCTCCTTGCCGCAGGATCAATCAAACTGCTAGTTAGATCGAGCGTCAATCGCTAATGCCGTGACGGGTTCGTCTATCGAACTAAGCCGCTGCTAAGTACACATCCACAATATTGACGTTTACTGGGACACGATTTTGTGGTTGCTTTCTCCTACGGCTGTGGAAGACGCTAATCATTTAGATACAATGATCTGACCGATGTAATCGAGTGATTCTGACTAGCCGCAATCCTTGGAACATAGGAAGATTGGTCGCCATAGTAGATACACAGATTCATAATTTCTGTCCAGCTGAAACCCTTTTGGAGTTTTTGGATTCTAGTAGCACCCGCAATCGGTTGGAATCGTTCGCTGGCGTGTGACCATTTCACCGTCGACGAGTTCCTTAACAGTTAACGTTTGACTGGCGAGTACCCGAGTTTCGCATGGCAGACACGAACTGCTGGCGTCCGCACAAACCCTCGTGCACTTGCAAGATACAAACATGAACCCTAACGGCTCGACGACCGTTGGCATCCCAGCAGCCGCAAATGTCAAAAATTCTCGTTGTTTGTCGCAGCGCAACCACGATTCTCGGAGTTCAGGAACTGACGTGGGTGTTAGGTCAACAGTGATATCGCCGCCCTTTGATGTTCCAGTATACGTCAATGGCCAGTCCGCAATTCGGTCTCTGTGATGGCCACTGCCAGGACGTCCGAAGTAACTTCGATGATGATGATGAAGGCGAGGCTGACCAGGTGCCAGTCTTGCTCGTCGTACAGATGGCTGGAATCGCTGGTTCAGATCGTGAAGATTCAGACCAGTGTGCGAGATAGTTGCTCGATCGGTGCTGGAACTGAAGGCGCTGCGAACACTGTAGTCGACACTGAGAAAGCTGTCAGCTAATCCCTCGAGGTATTCCAACCTGGACGGGTTGTTGGTGAGGTAACCTGGAAGACTCAACCCTGAAAAATTCAGTCATTTTAGCTAGCTGATAAATATTTCTACAAAAAATCCTTTCATTTTAAGTTATGTTCATAGCAAAAGATCGCTTTGACTAATATTTACTCGGTTCAGAAGTTCCGCATCGCATGCCAACGAACAGATCGCCTATATCCAAGGGTTCTTTCGTTTGAGGATCCGTCGCAGTTACCTCAATGCGCTGTGCCTCTGTGTCAGTTGTTGTGAACCACCTATAAAATAACAGAAGATACATTTTGAAAGTGAAAGATGTTCCTTTCTTCGTGTGCCCGACAAGCATTCGATCTGTATCATACCGCAAACAGTTGTTCAGTGTAGGTAAGTACAATACCACCTAATCGGTGACGGGGCATAATAGCTTAATTAGCTAGGTAAACTTGTATGCAATTGCAGCTGAACAATAAGTTCAACTATATTTATATGATGTTCTAATGTTGGCTAATGCAGGGCGCAAAACTTTCGTTTAGGCATACGTACCTGAGGCCGAAGAGTCGCAAATTGAGCTTCGCGTAAGGGTAAGAGGAGCTTAGATCTACGGGGATGCTTTTATGGCAAAGGACTGAACGGCATCCGGCTAAAAACAAAACAAGAATATTAAACACGACGGTTCCAGATAATCTGTAATAGATTGGTATTATGCCAGCCAAAAACGAAAACGTTCTATGACTTTGGATGGTGTCAACGTTTCTGATTCGCTACTTAATAAGTAACAATGAATTTACATCTATCAAACGTCTTCCACAAAAATGATGAAATACACTCACGTTCAGTGACGTTAATGATCACGTAGGTTTGCGCTGTGCTATCGGTGTTAAGGGAAATATTTTCCGTGTCAACGTCGTTAGGTGTCGCTCCCGTCTGGGGTAAGCTTGGCGTACTCGATTTCTGCAGACGCCAACCGCCAGGACCCTGTGTTCAACATTGAAATATCATGCCTAGATTTAGTTAAGGTAAGCTTCATTTTGCTGCCCAGACACATTTCGTATTTCGTTTAATGTTCTATCTATACAAGCTGTTAGTATATAACTCATAAAGCTATCGCGCTCGATTCAATGCAGATTCCGTAGACGTGTATTAATGATACGAATCTGACGAGAGTGAAGCCCAAAATTACCTTGAGACGAAGGTAGAGTGTGGTTGATCTTGGCATTAACACTTGATCGCTCGATCGCATTTTAGCTATTTGTGGAAAGAAGAATTGAAAAGCGTGTTTCCCGTTTGGCTGCCACTGCGTTGCGTCAGATGGACCTTCACCTGTGATAACAAAGACAACTCGTTTGATAATAACTAAATCGAATAGAGTCTCGGGAAGATGAAGCACCGCCCGCGTGGACGAGATCGACTGGTTTAAACTGAGCCAAAGGCTTGAACAGGCCAAATCCCAGCCCCTGACTAGCCACAACCCCATCTACGACCCCTAAAATGTGTCAATTTATCATAAGAAAGACGTGAAACCTGTTGATTATACTGGCAAATAAAAACACTGCACGGAAACTAATAGCACCGGACGAAAGCTCTGTTTAATTTTAGCTTTTCATTACATGCTTGTCTACAGTTCTTCCTCTTCCTACCTGTTCATAACAGGCACCCTCTCACAGCTGCCAACTGCGCAGCGACGCACGTGTAATGTTTCTATCCGTTCGTATTGGTTCACTCTGGCCGTGATGTCACTTCACGGTAACTCTTCCAGCTTTATTAAACCAGGTAGCGCTGAAGGAGCAATGGCACTGCTATGATACCTCGCATCGTACTGCTCTGCTCTATCCGATCGTAATCTCAGCTCTGCGTACAGCGGAGATGGCGAGTCCGAGATGACGGAACACTCGGATGACTGCGACAGGAGAGAAAAACTCAGCCGAGATGTTAATGAATGCTATCCCAGCGGCGATTGGATACGACAACGCATCGCGTCGACGATGATAAAGAACGAAGCAATATTTGCTGATAAAGACGTTACGATACGGCAATCTGTACGTTATTGCAGAGGCGTCAGTAGCGCTGGGAGGTAGCTAAACTATATGGTGATGGCTCTTCTCTGGAAAGTGGCTGGATAAAGCGAACACATAAGATTCTCTAATCATCGGCACAGCTATGGCAGGTCTTGGAACTATTTGATGTTGATCGGGGCTAGTGTCTGTGACCCGAGTGACAACACAGGCGTCCTGATATAGTCGACCTCGCACTGGGAATTGCCAAAACAAGTGACGCCCCAAAAAAACAATGGCTCGGCCGACGATGAGCTTAATACGAATTGTGTTACATCAGTTTTTGCAATCAATCATATCGAGCAATTGCGTCTCGGCATCAGCTTGCTCAAACTGAAAGCTTAAATATCAAAGACCCTTTGCTCATCAAAAGGAACTACGTACCTCGTATAGCCGATGTATCATAGATCATATGCTTTAGTTCAAAAGAACATCCGAGATATGCATGAGCAGTACTTGAACGACAATAGCGTAAGCTATCTCGTTGAAAATCACTAATGTATTATCAGTACACTGTCATTGTTAATTTTGTATTTATAATGCCAAACTATATCGATGATGGACCGCATTAGGCCCGTGCATACGACGACCGTTTGGATAACTATTAATGGTATCTGTCCTATATTCTTACGCACTTCTCCTGTCCATAGTCATAGGAGAACACTGAGAGATATTAATGATTATTGTATCTCACTGATTCTCGCATTTTCGGGTCCCCGTCTTCGCTGCGACATCGCCCTCTGTCCAGCGCGCTTGGAGGCACCCAAACGGGGGGCGAAAAAGCCGTGCTAACTGCAGTGCACCTAACATGATCGGGTACAAGAGCCAACAGCGGGCAAGGACCGTCAGACGATCAGACCCCTTGAAAAGCCTCCGAATTTGCTCAAGCGTGAGCAGAAACCGAACAGCGTGGAACGCTGAAGGCATAGTCGGCGACGCTGACGTATCAAGCGCTTCGAAGCTTCGCACGTCCGTTTGTCCGTCCGTCCGTTCGTTCGTGAGATTTCATCACGGCTGCGATGGCAGTAGTGGTAATTGTAGATTCGATAATATATACAGACGAGATTTGCCGCCATTATTACCAAACATCAAATAACCGCGCGAAAGCTTGGCGTTCCTAGCCCCATTAGCCAGCCGCCAAGCCCACGTACATAACTAGCATTAAAAATATGGGAGTGAAATTCGCGATGGGTCGACGAGGAGTCGCCGATATGGCTTGATAGCAAAGCAAGCCGTAAGTTAAGATCACAGCCAACACTCGATATACAGTAAATACGCCATTTTGCGTGTGTGTGTGTAAGCAACAAAGAGAAAGCTTGTCTTAGAATCCCTCTTCAATATCTGCTGATGTTTAGATTGTTCTGTGTTCGACTGAGGCGAGTACCGAACTGACCAAAAACCGCGATTCGCGTCTTACCGCTTTGCTGTATTTGCTTGGTTCTCCATCTTGGACGATATATATATATATATATAACGCGATCAGATGGAACGGAAATAATGATTTTTCTCTAAGGAGACAATAAGGACAACTTATTGAAACGAATTGAACATATTAGGCAAAAAAGGCCGGTGGCAAATAACAAGCATCCTGATATGTGAAGTTCCACTGAGGCCTTGGAAATATCGATATTCTCTTTGCAAGGCCGAAATGTTTCCCGCTCGTTTTCTTGCGATAGCGTCGGAACAAACATAAGCATGACAGAAAAATCTGTCCAAAAGCAGAAAAATTATTTCTGTTAGCAACAAATTTATATCTAATAACATAAATAAATCCAAGTACCGGTGGAGTTAAGGGCCAAACTATGCAATCGCCAAGTTGTCTAACCGAAACAGCTCGATCCGTCAAGGATATCGTATGCTTTTACTCGTTGTTCGTGAAAAAAAAAACGCAATTTTGACATTTTGTCGTGACTGCAATTCGTCTTCTGATCGAGTTGCCCTATATTTAGCGGTAAGCAGACTATGAACTAAGTAGAAAATGTACGGTAAGAAAATGTGTCGATGTGTTACCAAAATGTGCATTATTTTCCAGCGCGAAAACAATTTACAAAATGTTTGTACACCATAAGAGCTCTATTGTTACGTGTTATACGAAACTGCGATAATAATACGAAAAAAAAAGAAAGACTGAAACGAGAGCCGCTCGAAGTCGAAGCCACATCAATACTAATTATATAGGATGGTATTCGTACTTTATTAGGGAACGGAAAGGTTACAGCCAGAAAGCTATCTTTTATGTGCTGATGTTCCCATTGTATCGAGCTTCGCTGCACAGCGGCCACTGTCGTGATCGCCACCCTCGCGTCTGATGGCTCCCCTTAGCGCTCACTTGGTAAAACGCTGTTTCACGGCTACCTTACTGTATATGACTAGGCGCAATGTACGTTCACCGTCATTGGGCCGAACAGAGGCCAAGATGGCGCCCCGCACGTGTACTGCGACCGACAAGCTAGTCAGTCAGTCAGCCAGCCAGCCAGCTAGCCAGCCAGCCAGCCAAGCTCGTCAATCGCTGCCAGTCATGTGTCTAGACGATTCAGAGACGCTCAGGCAGATACGACCAGACGAAATCATACAGCAGCGACAGTAGTCGCACGAGTAATGGCGTCTTGTAGAAGGCGTAACAGCAACCTGCCGCGGCTGCGGCCGCCGTCGCGAGACCGATGGCAACACCGGTGGCAGACATAGCTGGCTACAGTCGTATGGTAATTGTAGTTGCTACGATAAGTAGATCCTGCGTCAGTGAACCACTTTTAGCCATGGGAAGTAGTAGTGATGGTAGTAGTTGATATCTGTGAATCAGCTAGCGGGGAAAGGTATCATATCACTGAATACATGGCTAGATAGGTCGAAATGCATGTCATGGTGTCAATCATCGTCAGCATCATCGATAAGTGAGGTTTCCGCCGGCTTAACGATGGTTCTCGGAATGAGAATCAGACAATGGAGAAGTACTGCTAACAATGGGCTACCGAGCTATTACTGAGCCGATAAACAAGCTGCTGCCGCATCGAGAAAATAAATATGAATGGATGAGGTAGGTGTGGGATAGCAGACGGTCCATTATTAGTCTGCTGCCACTGAGTATGTGATAGGTTATCCTGGATGCAGTAAACAGTTGTATTCCGTTCGTCTGATTTACCGAAAACTGATCATCGGTTATAAAGGCGAGTGCGCAGACATTTTTCTGTCATTTGCAGCTGCGGCTATTATCGACTGACCATCATTCCTATCCGCTGTCGGATCAGAGTGAATTGGAGATTATCTTAAAAGTAAATAAAAAAAAAAAAATCGTCGGTTGATGCTTGTAGTGTTTCTGGAGGTCGATGTTCGTCTTATTACAGATAGTTGTTGTTTCGTTGATTTCCGATACTGAAACTTCCGCTTCCGACTTGCAGAAGCATTTCTTGAGGACACAGTATTGGATCCAAACCGATGCTTAGATTGTGTCAGTAACTAAGCGCAAGTTCCACGCAGTATCTGATCCGCAACGGTTGTCCAGCTGTCCCGCCTACCGCCTATTCCGATAACTATCATAAATAATTGGCCTTTTGAGACTGCTAGATAGCTAGTTAAGTACACACACACCTACTTACCAGATATATACGAGTACTGTCTCGTTTCTATTTATACTGGAGAATCAGAACGACCGGCGGAAACCGACGATGCTACGGAATGTAAAAGTAGACGCCACCCATCTCCCCCCTACTCTGTATATATGGTCTCCCGACACTGGCAAAATGCACAGCGAAACAGAGTATTTTCTACTCATCCTATGTTACGCAACATAATGCTAGAGTAACTATCGGCTATATGTAATGCTGAAGTATATTGCTTCGATCTGCCGTTCTGCCGGGTTTACTATAACCGCCACCGTTACCGTCATCGCTGTATAATTCATTGTCACGTCTTCGTTCGTTGTTGAGCTTCTTTTGTATCTCTGGCTTTCTCTAGTCTCGTAGTAGGCTTTTTTTAATTCGCCGAAGACGGTGAGCGTGCGGCGGAGAGCGCACGAGATCGTGAGGGCACGTCCGTTCGCAGAAGCGCTCTCTGCTGTATACGAGGGAGGATGTGCAAAGAAAGCACCTCTTATGACAAGAGAGCCGCTGCTTCCCACCATCCCTGGCCATCTGGCACCATACATGATCTTCATTCTTACCCTACAATCGCATTACTTACTCTACGCGTTGAGTTTTAGTACGAAGAGTCTCTAGGCGGTAGCTCTCGGCAGCTCTATCGGCGAACAGCGAGAGTGAAGTAGCCCCTACTTCACGAAAACGGGCAAAGATAGATCAAAATACTGACAACGAAACAGCCCAACTCAGCGCCGCTCGATTCGACCCGGTAATTGCACTGCCATAAACTTGGAAGCGTAGTGAAAGCTTTCAGGAGGCAAAGGAGGCTAGACAGAGGCCAGACAGCACGAGGAAACTTCCCGCCCGATCGTACTGGGCTACATCCGAAAGAATGATAAACGTTGGAAGGCTAGAGAGAGAGAGAGAGAGAGAGAGAAAGAGAGTGAGAGAGAGAGAGAGATGGGTTCAGTGGGCACCGGCAGTAGCAGCGCATAATACTAGCGCAAAATGGTTACCCGCTCAAGTCTGCAGCCCCACTGACTCTTTGTCGACCGGGTGATTTGCTGCTGGAAGAATTGACGTCATCGTGAGCGGCCAGCTTCTACAGCCAAGCACTCACCCAGCAATGCCCTCCGTGTACATTCGTGACTCGGACGGATCGTTCTTTATTATTTTGTTTTATCTACGTACGCAAAGCTGCGATAGGCCAATGGCCTAGTTCCTATTTTGCTCTCACGTTTCGTCAACACTGGAAGTCTGGGGAGCGCTGCGTACACTTCCAGATTAAGAGGCAAGGGGTCCTTTGCTAGTTGGCCGATTACATAGGCTAGTCCAAAGCTAAACTATCGCGGTCCCAAAAGTAAGCAGAAGGGACAAATAGCTTGCATATCATCTTCTTCAATTGGTTATGCAGGTAAACAACGTCACTGAGCGGAACTTTAATAATATGAACGTCGTCGCGTATACTGTTATTGTTCTCCGCAGACTCGTGAGAGTGAACCCATTGATAAGCTCATTCAAGTTCTGCTCGTCCTCGACGGATGACGCTCAGACGCCTGTCTGCGAAAATCTGTATTTTTAGCACAGTGTGCAGATCACAAAGACTGTTACGTGGCAAACGTTCACGATGGAAAGGCAAGGGAAAGCGATGACTCAAGTAAACGGGGGAACCTTAACTGATTTGGGGTGTTTAACGCTGATTTGTCTTATTTGACATGAAACAATTAATGATACATGCACGTTCGCGCATGTATATTAGACATCATATGTTAAATTGGTAGGCGCATCAATAGAAGAGGTTTCGCCTAAAATGAGTCAACTGATTATAACCTAACTCTATTTTTGAACAGTAATTGCGCGCTTAGTGGCCGTTCATCGGGTGTTCAAGCGTCGGAATACAAGCTAGTAGGTATAACGATCACAATGTCTTGCTTTCCGAACCGTGACAATTTCTTTGGCGGCGCGGAACCGAGGATGGCCAGTACGAACGTAGCCGAATAGAGGGCAGCGTCTAGCCCTCGTATGAGGGGAATAATGCGTTTTAAGCTGTTAAATAAACTTTTATAAATAATAAAGAAATAAACATTTCGCTTTCTTATCTTTTGGCATTCAAAAATACAACGGCACGCAAGACAGGGAAGTGTTCCATTTTTGACCCGTTAATAATAGGCCTGTTGTGTCTGTCACAACGTGTGGGTTCCCGAAACCCAGAGGGGTCAAGGAATTGCGCGTACAGTTTCAAACATCTCTTTAACCGGTGCAGTTTTTCCAAGTTAAGTGCGTTGCAGCCATTATGCATCAAATGTCAACTAAAGAGGCCGCAAAAATGCGTGCACGTTGGCACGACCTGCTGATGTACATTTAGCCAAAAATTCGACCCCATAATAGGAGGGTATATAGTACTTCTGGGATGTGGGAAAAGCTGTATAAGGAAAGAGAGGGAGAGCAAGGCAGATACGCACCTATGTGCCGCGCATAAGAATAAAAACCAGCTGCACATATACAGCTGTACAGTCGAATGATGCACATAAAGAATTAAGCGCAAATTTGTCGATAGCTGGCTCGCCTCGTGTTGGCACCCAATAATTATCCAACCTTCATACCACGAAGTCACCTGTCTATTTACGACAATCGCATCATTCAGACTTCCTCTTGTAGAAAGAAAAAAATCTGTCTAACAAATACTACGCTCTACTAGTAAGACAACTGGGCGTTTTCACCATGTTGTTTGGTTCTACGGTGGCTATCTCTATTGAGACGGCAGTGATCATGCCGCTTCGATATGGTGACCACCATTGCTACTGACTTGTATAACATTTATCGCTTCTCTACAATAGGTACACATAAAATCGATGACTCGCGTGACTGTTTAAGTCGAGCTTCTGTTCGGGTCAAGTCTAGGCAGAAAAGAACATTGTACGATCGTCGAGCATTTTCCTTCTGTTTTCGATGTCGGCCGTAACAACGGCGACGTCAACAGCAGATATTCATCCCAATCGACCAATTCCGAAGTCTCTTCCCCATCGGACTGTCTGCGATCTATTAGTCTATTTTCATTCACCTATTGTTTACTCGATATCGGACCCGAATGTTGTCGTTCTGGTTGACACCCCGCCATCTTAGATGATCCGGCAACAACACGAGGCGCCAACGTCGGTTAACTGCCTCAGGAACGTTAACTAATTTAAGCTGCGAGCAAACACCGAATCGAAAGAGACCCCGGGTATTACGCGCGGTTACATACGAGTGTTAGCGGACAGAAACAGTAGCAATATAGGACAAGTCAGGGCCATTAAGTAGGTATATGGTAAACAATATATGGTATGTATCGGTCATGTCCATCCGATAGATCGGCCTTTGATTAACAACTTGCTCGACGCAATGTCAATTGTTAGGAAGCAAATAGATATATTGGCATCAGATTAAAGCATGTTGACATCACTCAAGCCACCCAAATTTGCCTATAGTGCTTAATTTCGATGGGGTAGTGAATAGGTTAATGAAAAGTGTGCTGTTCCGGGGTATACGGAGGTATCACCTCGAGACTTAACTGTACCACACAATAATTTTTTTCTGTTGTAGCTCCCATTAAACAACAAGCAGGCGCCGACGCAAAGGAAACTAGTGCTGGTCGTAATTTTATTCTCGTTTATTCGTAACCCTACATAAGCGTCGCGTTAAATAACAAGAAACACACGGCGCGACCGAGGCACAAAAGTCAAAGCTATTTTATATCCTTACTTAATTCCGAAGCGTTCTGCCGGTACTTGAATTGGTCTTTAACACAGTGTTTTAGCAATGTTTTTATCCTGAGAATGTTTAGTATAAAAATAAGGCGAGTTGTAAATCCGTCTGAGGTTGTCCTGTACAATAGGATAATAAGTACATTTCTGTGCAGATCGAAAAGAAACGTGCGCTTCGCAACAAACACATATGAGCCTACCTGCGCCAACTGTTTAGCAGCTTTTGGACCACGTTATACATATAGTTGCGCCTTAATAGTATCTAGTATCTCAGTATTATATTATACGTTTTTGCATAGTTAGCCTGCAAAAGTAAATGCGCCTAAATCAGGTGTACACACTAAATGAGCAGTACGGTCAACTTGCATTCGTATAGCCGAGAGTTAGAAACTTACAAGTTGGGTAGAGGTTCGCCTGCCGCAGGCCATCGGGTTGTTGCTGCTGCTGCTGCTGCTGCTGTTGCTGTTGTTGTCGTCTTTGTTGTTGTTGTTGTTGTTGTTGCTGTTCGGCGAGCACGATTTTAAGGTCTTCACCGTTTTGGTACGGATACCTAAAAAACATGACCACTGTGTGATCGTTGTGTTTGTACAATGAGGGCAAGACTTTTTTTGACTAAAACAGTAACACGTTTGTGCTAGAGTCAACATTTTAACAAAAGGCCCAACAATTTCAACTATAACGCCCGAAACTTAATATAGCATCCATTGATTTATTTGAATCTAGAACCATAAAAGCGACGTCTCTAGGGCAAGCCGCTTTTCGTGCCTTTCTTCGACTCAGCCAAGGCTGTCAGCAGCAGCTCTGGCAACTACCGACCCAGCTTAGAACACGAGTTGACTTCTCTGGGAAATTTCCTTATTTTTTGCCCGAACTTCCTCGATAATTATACGCTCGATTATATTTCTATGTTAATTTTTCACTTCTATGGCAATTCTGTTTATCGCCGATGGATAGAAACACTACAACTAATTGAAGCAAAGCCAACCACGTTTTTGCCTTCATAATCAACGTACTCTATTAACACTATACCTCTAAACACTATTACTCTGCTATTTTAATAAAAAATCTGATGGACATCACATAACTGGACCACATGTGACCTGTGGCATATAATTTCATTAAGTAGAAACTATTGTAAATCGAGCATTCCTGTTCTGAAATAAACTTACCAGTAGGGTGGGCTGACGCTGGGTCGTTCACGCTTTGTTTCTCTACTGGCTATGTGCCGCGTGTGCGAAGACGAAGGAGTAGCATTACGATCAGCCCCGTCCTCCGTAAACCGCTTCCTTGGTACAGTACGTAGCAGAGTCAACAAATCCGAACGGCCAAAATCGCCCCGCATTATCGTATCTCTGTACTGCTCAGCGGTGGGGTCTGCACTCGTCATATTGATGAGGCTCAGCATCAGTATGATTAGAGCAAGGCCGGGTTGACGCGCCCATGGCGCGAATTGTGTACTCCCCATCGTCGCTGCCGATGGGTTTCCCGTTGGACTCTTAACTTGATTGTAACAGGAGACAACCGTAGTTCGTTAATACGCGCCCAACGTGTTAACAAACTATAGCAACAAAATCGAATCAATGTTGTTTACACTTTTGCACAACTTGTTTTGTCGTTCCCGCGGGGGCACTCTCCGCTGCACTCCGTTGTTAGGCGTCTTGAGCTTTTTTGCCAGTACGGTCAACGGGAAACTGTCCCTGAACAAAGCACCTGTTCGACGTCGTCGTGGCAAGACACTGTCACAAGTGTCCTCACGTACTAGTTCAGCGTTTGAAAAGTTCCTTTGATAACTTCTTGTACGTTTCAAGTGACGGAAGTTGTTTACGTTAACTCTCTTGTTAACGTTACGTAACTGCCAGCTCGGTTCTCTAGGTTCGAATGCACGTTTTGATAACACGAGTAGCTTGTCTCTGCTGCTTTATCAGCTGCTTAGCTCGCTATCGCCTGCTCTCACTAACAAATTGGTCGGTAAATTGCTTATTCTGCCGCTAGATGCCGAAGTAAATCTGCCGCCGGAGCGGGTCGCACGCATTTTAAAGGCTAGCCGTTCACCCTCGCCCCGATGCCCTCTCCTGGTCCGCCCACCGTGAGCGTCGTGGGCGGCGCATCAACTGCGGCCACCGCAACCGTCTTGCTAGAGGTGTATAGCACCCCACTTCCGGACACTGTCTGATCACCGACAACGAGATCAGGCATGGTGCTGCTGATACGGCCGCCCGCGTAACCGGTGCGCTAATGCCGTCCACGGCGCGGACATGATGCTCGTGGCAGGATTCTCGTTTTTTTGATTCCGTAAGCGTTCTTAACATTAGCGGCCAGTCGCCTATCCACCCTGTGTCTATATGCAAGTCAAATAAATTGTCGTATTGTAATGCGCTTTGTCTTTTCACCCCATACGGACGAACCTTCTGGCTGCCTTCGGGCCAGCGAGCGAGACGAATGGGAATTGAGCGTTTGTGTAGGCAGTTCTCATCATCGTTTTTGTCCACACAGACAGCTAGTTAAAAGTCATGATAGCGTTGTATGTGGACATGGGAAGTCGTTAGTTGGATAGCCTAAGTATTAGCCGGCGTAAAATGATCAAACCTTATGGTTAAATCGGTCTAGACTCATCTTCCTGTGGTGGGCCACGCGCTTTTGACCACAACCCATCCGCGTACAGCTCAAGGCCGGAATTCCACGGAAAATTAGACAAGTACGAGTTTGCATAAGATTACATTCATATAGATATGTGTGTATGTATATATATATATATATATATATATATATATATATATATATATATCCCTATTTTAGAGCGGGCGGGTGATAGTAAAAGTGATTAACTGACTAACTTAACTGAAACATTAATTAGTCTACCTGTGGGAAGTGAGAGTTGTCAAGGAGGAATGACCCCCTAACACTACGCTGTTGTCAGGAGTTTTGATGGTCTTCTATGGGCGCATAAGAAAGAATTAAGGCCACGAAGATCACTCAGTTAGCATATGTTCGCATTAAGAATAATCCGCAAATTCGCATTCATAACAGATTTATCCTGCTGTAGATAGGCCCGCTACTTCAAACGGCCCTTTTGTCTATCTATAATAAATCCGTCATCGAGCAATTAGTAGTTCGGACATTTCAAATAATACCAAGTTACGTAACTAAAAATTCTTATCCTTATACATCTCGAAAAGTAAGAATAATTGTGTAAAAGTATCTCTCAATTGATTTCCGGGTTATGTTCTAATTTTATGTTTAATGAAACCTTGTCTCTTACGGCACATTTGTAGGTATATACACAGTATAAGTGAAATTTACTAAGTAGATAGCCGCGTAATAGTTAGAATACAGCATACATCTATTATAGCTCCTATTCGTTCGCTCTTTGCCAAAATAGGTAGATTTCCAAGATGTTACGCAAGGGGCGAAAATGCGCTATAAGTGAGAGGCAGTTGATTCTCTATGATTCCTTGATGTTACTTATTGCGAATCCTTATTTTTTAGTTAGGAAAAGTGCCGATCTTTGAGGGGTTACAGTGTTTGGCCTATTTTTAGTTACTATTTGTCTTTCAGTCGTCCGAGAAAGAGTGATTAACATGCTTTTTAAGATTCTTTGCGTTTAAAACCACTATTATCGTGAAGCGTTCCATGCAAATATATTTGTTTGAAGATTATTTCCCTATTTAATATTTCCTGTGAGACCTGCCGTAGGTACCACGAAGGCCTCGCCTCTGAGCTATCCAATACCGTCAAGCAACGGGCAGCCTAACCGCTCGCCATTTCTAGTCTGCTTTTCGCCAAATGTTACTGCAAAAATTACGAAAACGACTTTTTTCGTGGCCTATAACCCTGCCGAGTCGTATATGTGGAACAGTAAGTTGTAAACTTAAAAAGCTGTTTTAGTTCAATTCTAAACACGCAGAAACTTGCCACATTGCTTCTATACTACAGTATTGTCGGACTGCAATTGTTCTCGTTTAGCCGAACCTTTCTCTAGAACTGGGAGAAGATACGCCTTCGAAGAAAACATTGACCAGTATTTTTTTTTTTGATAGTAAGCCACACTATAACCAGTGTCCTTCTATCTGGAATACACGGAAGTTAGACGGGCTATGAGTTGATAAAATCGACTGGTCGCCTAGAACGAGCGAATCCTTTAACCCCCGAGGACATTAACAGCTATTCAGCACCGTAACTGCCGCTGTTGCAGTTTGCTCGTCTAGTCATGAACGACTTGATTTCGGCCAGATACTTCAATCGATATATGGTTTGATACGTAAGAGATGTTGTTCTTTTAATAGACAAAACGTGAAAACCAGATAAACAACATGTTGAATAAAATCTCAAATTTGAAAGAAATATTACAACTGTAATATTTGAAGATCTTCATATAGCTGACAAGTAAACACAATAATTCCGGCAAACGTTCAGTGAATGAAATCAGCCCACTGTGTTGCTCGACGGAAAATTAATCAGGAACGATAACAAAACACTTCTGTCAAGGCCTACCAACGTTAAGGCCTAAAATGGAAACTCACTACCAATACCTGGCATTCATCGTTTTATTTGTTATTCGTGATCGATCAGCGAAGATAAAGTTGATGTATGTATGCACGGGAAATCTGCACTAATGATAAGCACTAGAATGGATAATCTTAATAATAAAGTTTGTAATGAATGTGTTTTTTCAAAATGTTGTTGCTACCAATAACAGGTTGAAGGGCAAAGACTCCAGACGACTATGCTTGTCTAAGTTACTCACGATGCGCGTATTGCACAACACTTCTTCAGTGAAGTCTACCCAATTGCGATGAAGACGTTCATTTATTTCTATCCATACGCGTGGAAAATCTGCCACGCTTGTTAAATGAAGGTGGCCGACTTCAAACAGAGCGCACTTCAATATTCGTTAGGAAACTTGAATTTCCTTCTACGCTGTTAGCTTCTGCCAGAACAGATCAAGACTCCTACGATCTAAAGCACCAGTGTACTACGATGATATGAAAGAAATTATTCCTAACTTATATTGGTGGAAAAGTACAGAACATACAATATTAGGCTTAGCTCTAACTGGGTTCAGATGTTATTTTCGAAGTTCATGACGTGTACACGTACCTTCTCAGCTAATGGGATAATAATTGCTGATTAGAAAGTAGGTTTGTTCAAAGCGAAAAAAAAACGCTGTCCTGATGCATAAAATCAGAAAGCTTCTTGTTAGGTTGAGGTCTATGTGCTGGTAAGGCCGGAAGCTACCTTATGATTACGGAGAATGATGCACAATGGATGGCCAGGGGTGGATTATTGTGTGGGACTTAGATCTGTTGTTACGCAACAAATGCTTGAGATTTCGATACACCTGGCTTCGGTAAATTATACAGCGGTAAACTGATGTTTTTTTTTAACAGAGCTAGTGCGTCTTCAGCCGATTCTTGATTCAGCACAAGGACACCTTTAACGTGCTGTTGTAGCACAATTGTTTATGAAGTCACCGGTGATCCCGCTTGAACTAAATAACGATGAATACATTCACCTAGTGAAACTTATGCTTGTGAAGACTCGTGCCTCGTCGAGAACCAGAATGTACAATACAATCCAGGATGTACGCGTTGTGGACAAAGAAAGCTTTGTCTCTGGACGGTCAAAATGGAGATCGTTTTCTCAAAGCAGACCTTATATCTACCCGATATAATTCTCTAACCTGAATCGGCTGTAAATAACAGGAGATTCAACAGAAGAAGACAATAACAATACCAACAAAAAAGGCCGAATACATTCATCTGTACTTAGCACTATAATTGTTACATCTCAAGGCCATCACTAATTGCTCATATTAGCTATCTGGTAGCGAGAATCTTCTCTATATCAAATCTAGACTAACAACACTTACCGCCGCGTGTCACGCTTGCGCTCACAGTCTGATGCTAGCTATGTTTACGTTTGGCGCACACATCGTGAAACGAGTTCTCTGTTCTTTATTTGTATTCTTTATTGGCCTGGTATTTTTGTCGCGCGGCTAGCTCTCCGCCGCCACTCCTTCTCGCTCGCGCATGAATCGTTTGCGACACAAAGTTTACTTTATTTAGGTAGACACTACAGGCTAAACTCCCGTCGACGTCTTGAGACGCGCGAGTCCATCGTATTCACGATAGGAGCAGCAGCGCACACGGGAGTAGACTCGCTAACGAGAGTTACCGGAGACAAACGATATGTGAGAAACGCCTTAGAACGAGCGAACCAACGAAACAACTGACAGGGACAGAAAGGGAGAGAGAGAGAGAGAGAGAGAGAGACGGCAGAACTGCGACGACAAAAACAACGCGATTCAATAGTAACCTTGGCGGTCTGGTCCAACGAATAACGCTTGAACTGGCCCGTCATTAGCTCGTCGCTGCTGCCCGTTAGTCGGAGTAGTAGCAGAGTGGACGATCTTTCTGATCTGGGGGCAGCTAGACGACAGTTAAGAGAACACGTTGGTGACTAGTAGGAATTTGCCCCTGTACATATACATATGTACGTGAGGGGCAGACAAGTGCGGATTCAAAACGCAAGAACTCGACTGAAAAGGACTGCCTACGACTACTGTTGGTGTTACGGCATCGGGCAAGGGCTATCCTTTCATAAGATTGTCGGGGGGGGGTATCACGGACTTGATCGAACCTTACTCTAAGAACTGGGGAAGGTCGATAGGCGTGAGAATGTGGTGTCAGTCTTTGACCTGGTATTTTTTTTTATGATGCTGTTTCTAGTAGTTACTCGTTTTGAAGGTGTACTTCCTTTGCTTACATCTTATTCGAGCGGTCTGAAATGACTAAAAACACAACCAGTAGAAAGCAATTATAGAGATTTTATTTTTGCCAATTTCAACTCTTGATGGGCAGGATCGTAAAAGACACGAGTCAATCATTCGTGAGAAAGCATTTTTTTTTTTGCCTAGGACAGTAAATGCCGGTACTCGTAGAGTGAGCG